GTCACTGGAGTCCAACACTACTTTGGTCTCCTCACCGGAGCCTTTAACCCCATAACAGCTAACTCTTTGAAATCGGTTTCTGAGGCTTAAAGTTGTAGCATTTTCTGTCTTGAATCCCAAACAATTGGGGATTTTGAAGGGAAACGTGGGATTGCTATGGCTTAAAAAGTGGGATTGGGATTTTGAAGTTTGGTGGAGATTGAGGATTGTGAGATTGGGAGTTCTGAGGGGTTTGAAGAAAGGAATTGAGGTTACATGACGGCCTTTGAAGGGTTTGGAGAAATGGGTTGAATTGGGATTAGGGTTTTGAAAGGAAAGCAATGGAGGTAAGGAGTGTAGAGACATCACCATCTCTACTCAAACAAGGCAAGAATCCAATTTTCCCGCACACTGAAATCTGGGCTTATGAATATGGAGTGGTGGAAATCCTGTGCATTTAATATTAAATTTACTTCCTGCAATAAATTATGACAAGGACCCACGTGTTACGAATGAATTGCTCAACTGCCAATATAAAAATTTGTACAAAATACCAACACGTGACAGATTCCATAAAACACAAAGCACAGCAAGCAGAGTTTTGATACCAAAGGTTATTCAGGTCAAAATCACTGTGAAAGAGTTACTGTGACAAAGTTGTTATTACCAAATCACACATGCCATATTGGCTTAACTCACGATCCTTCCTTGTCTCCCACCTACATTTTTCAAAATTTTTAAAGGTTTATTATAATTAATAAAAAATATAAAAAAATTAATTACCTTAATGATACTAAACAAAGTGTTTGTTTTTGAGTTTTTCTTTTTGGGTGAAGGGGAGATGAGTCAAAGTTTGTTGTTGAGTATCTCGAGTTCAAATTTTGCTTGGATTAATTAATCCAGAAAATTCAAATTATGTTGTTGAATTTGAAAAAGTTAGGAATTTTCAATCTTGATGTATTAACGATGGTGTGAGAATTTTGTGAATCAAGTTTTTGTTACTATATATTTTATTATTTTAATAATATTACATCGTTGATTTTTGTGATGTATTTTATCTATATGTTTTTGTTTAATTAAATTATAATATTATTTGTGATTTGAAAGTTATAAATAAACAATTGATAAAAAAATTTTGTGATGCACTACGTTTATATATGATTATGGTAAATTGAATATTACGTGTGATTTAAAATTTATAAATAAAAAAATTAATATTTCACCCTTAAACAGTTAATCATCAAAACTAAATAAAAGAAGTATAAAGATAATAAAAAAAAGAAAGAATTTCAAGATTTGTCAAGTTTTCGATCTGCAATATTTCTTATTTTTCTTACTTTCTTGTTAGCTTAAATGTTTTTTTTTTCAAAAAAAACCTTTCTTAATTCTCCCTAAAACATGCTCTAAAAGAAAAGTTAAATAGAGCTTGAATCCATGTTGAAATAGAAGTTTGAATGCACCTTAATTCTTTGCTGACATGTAGGTGTCGCAACCATTTCTCCTTGAGTGTCGCAACGTTGAAGCCTCTAGTTTATTTTTTTTTTCAAATTTTCCTTTTTTTGCGTGACGGCACCACCTTTTTAGTGGCCGCAGTGTCAAAGCATTTAGTTTGCTAAAGCATACATCTCTTGTTGGCGCTCATGCTTCTATGGCCGCATCACCTTATGCTCTATCTTGACTTTCTAGATTTTGCTGCACTACTTTGGCTTGTGACATGATTTTCTCTTTCTTTAAGGTTGAACTAGGTAAATGGTCAACATGAGATTTGTAGCTCTGTCTCTTAACTTTCCAATGGTTCAATAATCATATCAATTGAACTTTGTAGTGAAAGATATGTTCGAAATATAGAAACATGTGCAGTGGAAGTCTGTACCTGGAATGCATTCTTCTTCGCAAAATATCACACTTTGCATAGCATATCTATAAAAGCAACCTACTAACTTAAATAATTACTAAACTTAAAGCAAAATATTATAAAATAACTTAAAGCAATTAAACTCAATATATTAACTTAAATAAAATAAATGATTAAAAATAATTAATACTTAAACTAAATTTCAAGAATTTAGACAAAATACATATAAAATTATGATTAAATAACTCTATAAAATAGAGTTACCACCCACTTCACTTTAGGTCGTGTGCCACCTTCTTTGTAGCTTACATCTCTTTGTGTTACATGTTACTTTCTTTGTAGTTCACATCATTTTGTGTCGCGTCATACTTTCTTTGTAGCTTGCATCACTTTGTGTTACGTGCTACTTTCTTTGTTCCTTGCATCACTTTCTACCATGTGCTACCTTCTTTGTAACGCGTATCACTTTGTGTCATATGCTACTTTCTTTATAACTCATTGCAATTTGTGTTGCGTGCTACCTTCTTTGTAGTTCGCATCACTTTATGCGACATGTTACCTTCTTTATAGCTCATTGCACTTTGTGTCGTGTGCTACCTTTTTTGTAGCTTTCATCACTTTGTGCTGCCTGCTACTTTCTTTGTAACTCGTCATACTTTGTGCTGCATGCTACCTTTTTTATAACTCGCAACACTTTATATCACGTGCTACCTTTTTTGTATCTTGTATCACTTTATATAGCATGTTAATTTTTTTGTCACACGCATCACTTAGTGACATGTGCCACCTTTTTAACTCCCATCACTTTGTGCTA